TCCTCTGTGATAGTGACATTTAGCCCTGTTAGATCAGAAAACCTTAAAGATGGGGCTTTTTCCATGTTCCTCACTAGGCAACAGTATTGGAGGAGAAGGAGGATGAAGCAGAATCTAACAAACAATAACTAAAATAAAATCAGTTCTTGAATTTGAAATGCATACCTTTCTACATATAAAAATACCAGTTGTACTACAATGCATAATTATCTACACATACAATAAGAAAGTACTATGTGATATTAATATCAAAATAAGTAAAGTTTCATGCTGAAATTTGGTTCATTACAAAATATCTATTTGACTACTTTGAATGGGATCTGTAGCTAATACTCTACCCGATTCTTTTAATTTGCTCCATAAAGGGCCTGAACACAAGTCAATCTTAACGACATTATTTAAAACTACTATGGTCATCACAAAAGCAAAGAGGGAGTGTCTGAGTCAGAGGCTTTATATTTCACAGTCGTGCAAGGAACTCTTTCAGACTCACCCAACCAGCTGCTAACTTCCTCTATGAAGAAAGTAAGGTAAATATTTCTGAAGCCCAGAACTTAAAAGTCTTTGCAGACACTGGTGAGAGAGGTAAAAGAGAGCAGTGAATGAATCATGCTCCTTCTCTGTATCTGAGAGTCGAAACTCATCAAACGATATCCAAATTGTTGCCTAACCCTGTTCTCAACTTCTCTATCTCATGGCTCTGTCTATCGCTGGCTTTCTGTGGTATCCTGGTAGCATGGTGTACAGGGGATCAAGACAGCTGAACACTTCATGTTCCACTCTTGGCATTCCCCAATAGCATTTGGGGATTTATGTACAAAGCTAGCCTCTATATTTCCAATGTTCTTAGTTAAGACATTGTAGGTTGAAATATACTAATTGCTGAGATTAGAATTAAACTCTATTTTAATTGCATAGCAAAGTGCGCATCTGATTAGGGATTTGTCAGTATTTAAAACCACATTTTTAATATAAATGGAAAGATTAGAAAATATTTGTGTAAAGGAGTTACTCTATTCATAGCACTTAACTTATATGGTAATGATAAAAATTAAACATGCTAAATATAACATGTAGTTATTCATTTTTTTTTCTCCAATCTGTGTGTTTTGGTCTGGTAAATACAGGAGTTTTGTTCCTCCTAGTAATATTCCATGAAATATGATTATTTTTCCTTTTATAGACAAAATTATTCTATGATTAGATAATATCTTGATCAAACATTTAAGGCACATAATAGATCAATTAAGTATAGTAAGCTCGGATACATGAAATATTATCACTGTAAATTCTTATTTTATTGAATGTGTTTTGGCTCTGTTTTTTCCTATACTTTATTTAAAAATTACTTTTCTTTCTTTTTATCAGATTATAAAAGATGCCTTAGTGAGTACATACTTATCCTTTTGTGTTGATAATAGGAAGAAAGGGATCAAGCATTTCTTGGATTTAAACATACCATAAGTAAGCAAATAGGCTTCAGGCTTCTGTGGACTTTTAGGTCCTCACGTCTGATGTTTGGGATTGAAAACTTGAGTTGTATTAACTTGAAAATTATAAGTTAACTACATATCAATATATTAAGCTAAAGTATTTATGTAAGGAACATAAGAATATGGTATGCTTGCAGAAAAATATAAAGTTAATAAAAAACCAAATACTTAACATATGAAAAGAATTTTCCTTCATCAATATATTCTGACAGTGGCATAAAAGGTAGTATCATATGATATCTTTTCTGTAGCTTAACATTATTTATTTTTCTTTTCACTTTCCTTTAGTTATTTAGCTAGGACCCAACTCATCAGGTACTTGTTGATGGTTTGTTGAATTTTGCTGTGTGTTTTTCTCAAAGAGTTCTTTTAAACAATTAAAGGAGAAAGAAAAAAAATCACAGTTTTAGTACTATGTTAACATTTATTTTTCTGTCCTGGATGGAAACCTAGCTGCAAAACAATTAAGTCAGCCTTAAATATAGTACTCTGTTTGCCAAAGAGATTCCAACTTTATGTCAGGTGAGAAGAAAAGTATCTTGCATTCATTTCTGGAACTTACAGTGCACCTATATAAAGCTTATAAAATTAATTATGTGACTTGAACATACTTTTTGGTATTTATTTTCAACATGCATGCACAAGATTGCTTAAAGATATATTATCTAGTGCCATTTATCATTTTAAAAGCCATTGCTTGAAAATTGGTAATGGTCTAGGAATGTGTTGGTTCATATGTCTCTATAATGATTATTTTTTCTAGTATGGTTTCTTTGCCATAAAACTTACCTAAGTGATTTAAAAAAATGCACTTGATGCCTGAATCCACATATTTCTGGGTAGTTTTTTTTTCTGTTATGTATGTTTTGTGAAAAATTACCAGAATGACTAAAAGATTAGAAACTGAAAATTTGTGATTATTGTTTAGAAAGTAACATAAAGAATGATTTGAAAGAGGTGTGTTTTTTTTTCCCACCCCAGAAGGTAAAATAGAAAAACATAAATTTGTAAAGAAACAAGATAAGTTGGAGCCTGAGCAAAGAAGAATGTACAGAAAATGTGTTTTTGTGTTTTGGGATATGGTAGTATAAAGTAACTTCCAGACCCCATTGGACCAAGCAGTCAGGTCCCCTAACAAAGTCACTTAAAAATCTTTCAGGTCTTATTTTAAAGATTCTAGTCCATATTATATCAAATATATTAAAATATACCCACAACTCTCTCTTAAATATAATTTTCATTGTAAATAGTTTAAAAGGATTATTATGACTTTGCATTTAATGTTAGTTTTCAAGAGTGATTTATTTAATATACTATGATTTTTAGCAATCAACATGAAGTCTCAGAAATTGTTTCAAGATAATCTAGCTCACAATTTCTCCCCAAAATTAAAATTTTTTTATAACTATTAAATTTAATATAAAAACCAGCTTATACTTCAAATTAGTGTATTTACTTATATGCTCATTAACTTTAATTTTACCATTTTTCATACTTTAGAAACAATACTTATATTTCAGATGCAAAATATGATTTTGAATCCCTGAAAAGTTTGGGGACTTTAGACACTGCCAATGTTGCTCACTGGATTCAATGTGAAATTAGTTAAATGTGTTTCAGGTAGCTATTAAAGGAACACAGGTGTTCTTTCTCGAAGTAAAGTTTGTGTGGAGGGAGATTTTATCACCCTGTATTCCTGGGGGTATAATTGTAGAGTGTAACTTACCTGGAATTGATAGGTGCTAAATTTGATCTTGAAAGACAGTCTCATTTATGGCCTGTGCCTTGGTGATGTTGTCAAGGCTTGAAATTTCAAAGTACAGAATATGGGGTTCTCAAACACTCTGGAAACATTCAAATTGTTAGTTTACAGCACAGAACAGATTGTTAGCATTTTCTAGAGAATAAGAAATGTAGCAGCTTTCATCTATAGCAGGTCAGTCATTTCATAGAGTTGTTTCTCAATTTTACTTTTAAAGTCAAGCTCCCATTTGGTAAAATAGAGATTGAAAACTTGTTTTAATGTCATTTTTAATTTTAAAAGGCATTACATTTTTGTGACTTCAACAAAGTCAGATGATTATTTTAAAATATTCTTGTTTCAAACCACTTACATGTCCTTCTTCCTGACCTTCTTTTGTTTCCACCCCATTCCTTGACCCTTCACCCCAAATGTCGATGTTATGGTGTGGTCCTCTTACAGGTGTAAGCGTAGAAGAACACATGTTTTTCTGTCCTGTCAATCGATCATTTCATTGAATATGATGAAATTTAAAAGCTCAGAGAAATTAAAGACTTGACTCAGGTCACATAACTATTAGCAATAGGGTTGGGATTAGGACTGAGTCTCTTGGGAGTTGCCACACTATCAGATGTGATATCACAGAATATACAAGGGGAATAATTAAAATATTCATGTTAATCTGTATAGTCTGGGGCAACCTCTACTGTGGAAGTGGAGAAAGTATGCAAAAAATACCAAAAGAGTTTCCCGAAGAATTCCATTGTGGGGACAGAAACAACATTATCAAGAATTCAGATAATATTTTTATTCTGGATTCTACATTTGCTTTTATGCCTTAGGTTCTCTAGTAAGAGATAGAACTCTGTGTTGGAAAGTCCTATGGATGTTTGTGATACATAAAATGGTAATTACATTTCCATTATGAAAATAAGCAGAAAATGGCCTGAAAATAATAAATATACTTATAGGACCAAAAGTGTATAATATTTGAAATTAGGATGGTCCTAAAGAAAGTTAGGATGTATAATTATTTTAAGAATTTATATGCAGACTATGATGGAGGCAATGGGCAAGAAAGTGCTGTTAAATCTCCAGGACTATAGCCCCTTTAATAGACTGTCTAATGTTGTAATATTTATTTCACTGCAAACAGCTTAGAAATCTGGGGTGACTTTAGAATAGGTCCATGAATGTGTCTGCTTAGGACTTTAAAATGCTGGGGGGAGGTTGAGTGGGAGTGATGGAGGAGGCTATAGGGGATAAATTGTTTTAGATGGAAACTTGACTTGAGGTGGTGAACACACAATACAGTGTACAGATGATGCAGTGTAAAATTGTGTACATGAAACCTGTATAATATTGTTAACCAGTATCACCTCAATAAATTCAATAAAAACCAAAATATCAGAGGCCACTGGATAGAAATGCCAGCAAGGAGAAATAGGAATTTGTCCTAGATTAGAATATGAGACTATGGACAGAAACACAGTAGCATTGCACTAGAGAATATAAATGTGGGGGGGAAAAGAGTGTATTATAATATGGTTGCCAGAAGAGATCGTTTTAGCGTGTTGGCAATAAGAATACTGGACCAAAGGAACTTTTTGTTGATGTTGTTGTTGTTATTAAATGGTTACAACCAAGGCTAAAGAAATGAAAATTTTAAAAATTAAAAGAATATACACACATTATATTCACACAAAAAATACACTTGGAACTCATTTTCTTTCCTTATTCTTCTCCAGGCGACACTTCATTTCATAATGGCTTCTCTTGCTGCTGTAAATGCAGAATTTTGCTTCAATCTATTCCGAGAGATGGATAACAACCAAGGAAATGGAAATGTCTTCTTTTCCTCTCTGAGCATCTTCACTGCCCTGGCCGTTGTCCGCCTGGGTGCACGAGGTGACGGTGCTGCTCAGATGGATAAGGTCAGTCTCAGTTGTGGTTTCTGCAATGAATCTTTAGGGCAACTTGTTCTCCTTCTACCCTGCCCCGAGTATATTTAATGGTCCCAGCTCAGTGAGGACATACCAATGAGCTCCTCTCCACATGTGAGGAATGCACATAGCTCGCAGCGCTTGTTTTTCAGCTGGGAGTCAGCAAGACTGTTTCCAGAACCGCACAGTAGTTGTGTGTGTGTGTGTGTGTGTGTGTGTGTGTGTGTGTGTTTTTTTTTTTTTTTTTCTTAGAACATGTTCTCAAAGTGTTTCCCAGACCAGTGGTGTCACCTAGAGGACTTGTTAGAAATGCAAATGCCACTGAAGCAGAAGCCACGGGGATAGTCCCAGCTATCTCTGTTAAACAAGCTCCCTAGGGCCTAGGAGCACGCAAAAGCTCAGAAACCACTGCTTGATTAGATACGGGTGAGAAAGAAAAGCTCCAAGGAGACAGCAATGAAATCCTAATTGAAATGCAAGTAACCTGGGCACAAAGAACATAATAGGGCACTATGGTAATAGCAGCCTCCCCGAATGGTCATCACATAGTCACTACCACCTTTGGAAAGTGCTCATTAACTCACTCGCCTATGCTGCCCTGAGCGAGGCTGCACTGGGAAGTGACATGGTCATGGTTTCCCACACTTTATTAACAAAATTTAGCAGCAGAAGAGACACCAGGCTACACATGGAGCCATTGTCATTCCTTTCATTTACCAATTCCTCCGATTATGACATCCATCTATATGTCTCCTCTGAGTACTACCATGGTCCAACGTCTTTTTTCTTTCGACGTTCAAATGGTCGCAGTTGGGCCAATAGAATTCACTTTAAACTTTTCTTTTTAAATAAGTTTTTCCAGATGATACTAAAATATCTTTGCTTACTAACAGTGATATTTTATAGTCCTTTAATTTTCTTGGCTCAAAGGAAGGCCAGTTATCTCTGCAAAGCTTGGTCCTTTTACCGGATAATAGTATTAAAGCCTAGATTGGTCTAAGTGAGGATTTTGTGGAGTTAAGGTGACCTGGAAGCTGCTTGAAAGAACCAGAAAAAGTATATTGATTTACAATGTCATGTCTTCAGTTTCATATTGTTTTATTTAGCTATATTTTAGCTGTATTTTCTTGTTTTAATATAAAAAATCTATTTTTTGGAGCTTCTTGCCCCTCTCATCTCTCACAAAACATTTCCATTGAAATACAGTATGTCATAATTTTTTTTAATCCCAAATCATGTTTTTATATTATAATATCATTTAAAAGTTATACAAATTTAAAAATAATTATAAAATTATTATAAAAATAATTACTATAATAAAAATAATTACTATAATAAATTCTTTAGTCTACCACTTCTGTGGGAAGATATAACAGTTTTGTAATTTGGCATGAAAATACAGGTAGAAGCTATTGGGACACAGGTGACTCATAGTATCTTTTTTTTTTACCCTCAATCCTTAATTCCTGAAATTTCTTTCATTGTATAGATCCATAATTATTTTTTTTGCCATCATCTGAATATATTTGTTACCAGTTATTTAAAATAAAGAAATTTTGGCTTTCTTACATAGGGACACTAAGGTATTTGAAAACATAGGATTCCTAGCTTTTCAAATTATGGTAAATATGCCCATTGAAATTTTATTTAACATTGAACACATTTAAATATTATTAGTATTATTATTCATCTTTAGATATGGTAGTTTTATTATTGGATCTGTAATTAAAATTCTGAAAAATATGGAAACAGATTTATACCACCTTAATATCATATCAGTCTAGTTTACTAAAAGTGAATTATAAATGTTAGAAAAAACAACCAAATTAGTCTCAAAATGGAGTAAAATTAGAAATAGTCAAAGAATGATATTAAATATTGATGCTATTAAAGTTTTTCTCAAAAGTGAAGAAAGATTTCTGGAGATTCATATACTTTTTATATTGTCTGGGTTCCACAACGTTAGCTCAGAAGAGACATTGGGATCATTGAGTCCTGACACTTTATGATGCTGTTTTATTTTTCTAGTACATTCATTTACTTCCATTTGCCAATCTAGCCAATAATGATGTTAGGACCTTTTTTTTATTTTCTCTTCTTTTCTTTTCTTTCATTCTTACTTTTATTTAAAAAATAAAGCTACAGAACATTTAAAACAGTTAGTCTGACTTTGGGAGGAATTTTGGCCGAAAAGGAAGAGCTTTTATTTGTCCTTGCTATGCTTCAGATTAACTACTAGGTTCTTTTCATGAGGGAGTGAGTAAAATGTTTAAAGGTGAGGGACATACATCATTCAAAAGGTTTTTCCACAAAGGCATTTATGTTTTCCTCAAGGTTACACATTAGTAACTATGACTTCCAATGCTTTCTCCCCCTTCTTTTGCTTAAATATTTCTTCCTAAGCTGTTTTGATCCTCTCCCCCCTGGCCCACCCCTTAGAAAGAAAAGACACATAAGGGACCAGCTAAGTGCAAGCTCAGGGGACACACTGGCTGGGCTTCTCTCCCTTTCCATCCTATACTGAGGTGATTGATGGCGATAGCTTCTCTTTGCAACGTTTTCGTTTTCATTTCAGGGACACTGACAGGTAAACTCATCCAGTTTCTAATATAAATATTACATTGCAGAATGAAGAAAATGATAAGGATATAATTGAAGTTATAAAGACTCATGCTTTTATTTCCTCTCCTTGTAACAAAAATTTAAATGATTCCATGGAAATGGAAGGACTTCATTGAACCTTCTTCTCTTAGACAAGTTACCAGCTCCATGTTCACCAATGGAGGAGTCATAATCACAATGAAATTGACCCAAAAGTTGTGAAACAGAATTGTTTAAGGACCTTCACAACTCTACCACTTGGGAAGAGATAACTATAATATTCTTTTTTAAAATTATTTATTGTTTGAAAAGATTACATATGTCTCCTCCCACTCCCCCCCATTGACCTCTCCCCAGCTGCTCCTGCTCCTCAGCACATGCCCTCACCCACCTACTGTCTGTGACCATTGGTTATGCTTATATGCATTCATACAAGTCCTTTGATTGATCTTTTACCACACCTCCTCCCCTACATAGCATTCTTTAAAGCAAAGAAAATCTTTGTGTTTGGCCAAAGCAAAATGAGAAAGAGTGCTGATGTTCTTCATGCTTCATAACATCATAGAATTAGAAGGAAAAATGACACTCGGACTGCAAAGACCTCACTGAGAATTTTAAGTTGACTACTAATTTGTATAAATCTGGCTTGTTGATTTTACCTTATCTCTCATTCCATCTCATATTATTATTCAAGATTAAGAGGATTTAGCAATGAGGTAGGTTCCAGTTCTCTGTGACCTATTAAAACTAATAGTGATACTCATGGCCTTGTTAAGTTTTCATAGCTCTTTCCAAGCTGTTCCATTTCCCCTAGGCCAGTGATTGGCAAACCGCAGCTCGCAAGCCACATGCAACTCTTTGGCCCTTGAGTGTGGCTCTTCTGACAAAATGCCATGTGCGAGCGCACACGTACAGTGCGATTGAAACTTTGTGCTCCATGCATACAAGTCAGTTTTCTGCCTGGGCGAGTCTGTTTTGAAGTGGTTCTAACACCGAGCACACTTAAGGGGCCAAAGAGCCACATGTGGCTCATGAGCCATGGTTTGCTGACCAGTGCCCTAGCCAATATGATGTTGCTATGAATTAGGGGTTTGAAGCCTTGAGATCAAGAGCCCCCACAGAGGCACTGATCAGAAGACTGACTTGTTTAATTAAATTTCCCTTCTGTTTACTCCCACTGTCCACTAGGGATAGGTTCAAATATAGCATACAGGATCCCTTAAAAAAAAAACAAAAAACCTACACATTTCTACAAAAAATCCAACCAGTAAGATTTCAGGAGTCACAAACAGACTATGGTACAACTCCATCAGTGTCTGGCAGCTATTTAGACATTTAAAGCAAATGTAAGTTAAAGGAGTCCATGGCAGCCTCTCTGTGTTGTCCATCCAAGCCCGGGCAGCACACATTCAGTTTACCCCAGTCACTTGCACAAGTATTTCCAGGTGGGGAGTACCCTTTATCACTTCCTCGTAGAGGAGTTTGCATTTCAGATCCCATAGATGTAAGGGTTTGGGGAATTCAGCTAAAATACAACAGAAAATAAAGACTTGGGAATAGAACAATTATTAGAATAATGGGGTGTGAGAACCACACTGGAAGAGGAAAAGCTTAAAACTATTTTATTTCAAATAATTGCAGGATCAAAAATTGTATCTCCCAAGTCCCAGTTTAGCTCCACATTTAGGAATTTCTAGATAGTCAATAACAATTCTCTGTATTATGTTTCCCCCCTCCCCATGTGACTAGCCTTAATCTTGCCTCCTACTTGATTAAACAAAGCTTTTTATTTGACCCCTTTTATCCTTGTCCAAGTTTAATCAGTGAATACTTATTAAATTACTCCCCCAGAATGAGTAAACTACAATAATTCAACACATTTCATTGGTAGCCATTGGTTTAACTCTCTCAATTTATTACTTTTTCCAATGAACCACATGTTTTAACCAAGTCAATAGGGTAGCTGCACATTTCCTTCCTGCTCTATGTTCTCTCTCTCTCTCTCTCTCTCTCTCTCTCTCTCTCTCTCTCTCTCTCTCTCTCTCCACACACACACACACACACACACACACACACACACACACACACACACTACCAATGAAGTCTCCACACCTTATTTTATTTCCCCAGGTCCTTTCTTGTTCAGCCTGACCTGTTAACTGTTTTCTTTGTCCCTATTTGCAGGTACTTCATACCAATTCCATGTCAGGACATGGAAACTCTTCTAATACTCAGGTAAAGACAATGTTTTCTTTTAGGGAAACAGACTGTAAGTCTAAATTTAGAAAAATTCCTGTCTCATTGACACATTTAATTATGCTCCCTGTCCTTTTAAGCAAAGGAACATGTTTCACTCAGATTTCCATGTTGCAAATATTTCAAATATGATTTTTTAATATTATCTTTGTTGATTATTAATTTACCAATAATTTACGTGTGTATTGGCCAGATTTGGGCAAGGTAGTGTGGAACTAAATGTTTTACTTTTATCTTTGATATTCACAGCCAACTTACATTGGTAAAATGAATTATTAAGAGCACATAGTAGGCAAATTCATTATCTTCAGTTAATAATTTTATTCTAAGGCTAATCATTTACTTTAGTAAATCCTTTAATTAACTTTGATCACAGGCACTACTGTGAAAAAGGGTAAGAAATTGTAGATTCATTTGATGCTTTTATAGTGACTATTTTTCAATTATTGTATTATATCCAATATACATGTTTCACATCCTACATAAATAGAGTATGCATATCTTTTCAGTCTAATAATACATTTTTATGAATATTTTTAATAACAGCCAGGACTCCAATTTCAACTGAAAAGAATTCTCTCCGATATAAACACATTCCATAAGGAATATGAACTCAGCATCGCCAGTGGTCTTTTTGCAGAAAAAATGTTTGACTTTCATGAGGTAAGGTCAGCCTTCTGTCTTAAGTGATTATTTTCATTTTGGACCTGAGCCTTATTCCATCCAGCATCTGAATAAGGGCTTGCATCTTTCCACTCAGCCATACAAAGCTGTTTTCCTTCTTGTCACTGCTAATTATATTCCCAGGTTGTATTCAGAGTCACTAGATGGACAGGCTCCCAAACCAAAGAGAACATGTCCCTTGGATGTGATGTGGGCCTGCCCCTGGGGTGAGAAAGCAGATAGCCCACTTAGGGTTGTCCCTGGACAGCAGGGGAAACGTACCATTTTTTTCCCCTCTGGGCTTTGTGTCTACAGGCGTAGCTTTGCATCTCCAGTGTTGAATTCACCTCCTTTTTTCCTCAGGCATGCTTTTCATTTCTCTTAGAAGGACTGACTTATTTATCTTTTCAGTAAAATCACTTATTTAAAAAAGTTGCTGGTAGTAGAGATGAGACCAGCCATGGGCAGAGGAGCAGTTAAGACTTGACACAGAGATGTGTGGGGGAGGGCAGGTTTTCTTGAGGTCAGCAGACTGAATTTTAGTATTACTATTTGATATTTGTATTATCAGTGTATTCATCCTAGTATCTTCTCATCCAAATACCAATGAGATAAGAATGCACTCTATATATTGCTATGCTCATCCCATACTCTAGAACCATCATGTCTGTGATACCTGGAAGCTGTTTAGTGCTATTCAAGCAGATGCACTGTTTCTCTGGGAATGTTTGTTCTCCCTTTTAATTTTCTAGTTCCGAGATAACTATAAAACTGCACTTCTGTGACAACTCTGGACTAATTCCTACTTGCATCTTCCCAGCTCTCTGTGTTCCACCCAACCATTATTATGTTCTCTGCCTGTCACCCACTCACATTCTTTGCCCCTTTCCAGAACCACTCCCAAATCCTTTGCCAGCCTGCCAATTATAAAGCATTAGGCCACACTGTTTTTCAATTTTATCCAAAGAATCCTAGACACGTGTTCCAGGGGCCACCCTGTATGTTCAGCCCCACATTTTTTTTTTTTTGTCTCTATTCCCATGCAACCTGCTGTGTCCCTGAAGGACTGTCAACTCTCTTCAATTGGTAGTTGACATGTCTATCATGCTACTATTTAAAGAGGATCCCATGTTCCCTTTTCTGGCCATCAGTTTGTACATAGAGCAGGCACCTAGAAGCACAATAAAGGTGAGAGCTGATCAAGAACTTGGAAAAATGGAGACATTGAAAGTCTGCTCATGATTTGCCAACATAAAGATGATGACACAGTGACATTTATAGAGCAGTTGATTCCTACAAATCAAAAGCTATGCACTTGATCTTCATTAAATGTATAGGAAACTGAAGGTTAGCATGTAGCATTCACCCAGGTGGTTTTACTGCAACAAGGGCTCTTTCCACCACAACTTGATGACCATCAGATATTTTCAAAAGCAAGAGTAACAGTCTAAGTATTATGATACCATAATGGAACTTTGAATGATGAAAGCTATTTATTCTGCAATTTAAAAAAAGAGAGAAAACTCTTTTATTGGTTATAGGATGAGGAAACCTCAGCTCCCCCTTCACTCATAGGAATACACACAATAAAAAATCTTAATTCAACAATTCAACCAGGTGACTGCATCAACACAGACCACAGAGAAGAATATCACCCAGGCCACTGATTAAAGAAGACAGTCCCTGATGGGACAAAGGGAGAACCATCCTATCTAATAAAGAGGGACTATACTAATTGACCCTCATATCATCACAAAGATGGCAGCACCTACAGCCAATAAGGAGGGAATATGCTAATTGACTGTCACACCCTCAAAGATGGCGGCACCCACAGCTACATGATGGTGGAGCCCAATCCCCTCAGCCCCCCAGCCACCCAGGGCTGACCAGAGATGCAGGCAAGCCTCAAATGTCAGCTGCTCAGCCGCCCACAGCTGGCCTGAGACCCAGGTAACCAGGGCCAGCTGAGGATTGTGCTGCTGGTAGTAGCAGCAGCAGAGGTGTGATGGGGCACTGCCTTCCCCTGATTGGCGGGTTGCCTCCTGCCCCTGAGGGCTCCTGGACTGCGAGAGGGGTAGGCCAGATTCAGGGACACCCCCCCTGCCCCTCCAGTGCATGAATTTTCATGCACTGGGCCTCTAGTAGACTATAAGAAGACAAGAAGTATCAGAGAAACACTCTTTCCCAATCTGAAATCCTGCAGTACTATATGTAACAAGGGGCCTCCCAAATGACTGAATCCAATATTCATTTTTTTTAAAGGCATTTAAAGGTAGAATGAAGAGTGCCAGGTTAAGGGTCAGGTTTACCTGAGTCCTAACTCTGTCACTTTATTGCTTTGTGTCCTTCAACAATCAATTGATATGCCTAAACTTCAGTTTCCTGGTTGATATAATGAAGGAATTATACTTATTAGTCTCTATGGCTCTCAACTTTCATGGCTGAGCTTGTATTTTTGGATCTACAATATACATTGAAAATGGAAATTGTGCATAGTATTTTTGTGGTAGCTAAACTAAAGTGTTATTAATGTACCATTCTCATTCAATATGCAACAACCATTTCCTGAGCTCTGACCAAGTGCAAAGAATCATACAAGATATAGAGAGGATGCAGAAATATAATGACGGGATTCAATGTTGAGCTAACATTTAAAAATCAATAAATGTATTTCATTACATTCTCACAAACTGGAAAAGAAATTTTCTACATAAAATGTTTTTGGTAAAATACCAAATATTTTTGCCTTAACACCAAGAACAAGATGAGAATATTTTCTGGAGTTATAAACATTTTACTGGAGTCATAAGCAATACAAACATTACTTAGTTGGTGGTGATTTGGAAATATAAGAATTGCATATTACTTACAGAACTGTATATTATTTGTATTTATAGGAATATATTAGGTGTGCTGAAAAACTATACAATGCCAAAGTGGAACGAGTTGACTTTACAAATGCTGTTGAAGATGCCAGATATAAAATTAATAACTGGGTTAAAAATGAGACACATGGTGAGTACAATGCTCAATTTTTCCACAGGATTGGTCAGTTATATGTGAATGTTAAGAACTGTCAGCATTACAATTAGGAGTCTTTTGTACACAGAAGGCACTGCTTTTCCTGATCCAAAGCAATGATTATTATTTAAAATTGCTTTAGTATTTGTCTGTAATGTGGTGTTGAGCAATCTTAATAATTTGAATGCTTTACGCTTTTAAGAAGTCGTGGCTATTGCATGTTCTCATTTGATTGGGAAATAATCTTATGAGCCCAATAGATTTTATTATGGCCATTTCATAAATTAGTTATAAACTAAGGTAATTTACTCAGTGACCCTCAATATCTTATGCTTGGTTAGTGAACAAGATTGAGTGCAGTTTATAGGACATTTTTAAATGACCATAACATATTTTATTCTAATGATCAACCCAACATCTTACTGTTCCTTCTTGCACTGAAGGGTCTTATTAAAATTATGACATCCTACTATCTAAGAAATATAGTTAATATTATTGCTTTTTCTAAGGGATTAATTCTTTATTTTTAATTTAAAAGTTATTTTTATTTATCAAAATAGTATATGTGGCTTCAGGTAGTACCTTCAAGAAAAAATACATCTCTTTATAGGTAAGTCTCTTTCACAACTTAACACAAAATCACAGCTAATGTTCTGTACAAAGCAAATAAAGACATCTATTCCTTATTGTTTTGTTAATTGACTGACTCCAATGTTAGCCATTTCTTTACCTAATGCTTGGCTTTGTTTTGTACTTTGAACAATATACATGTATTTGATGAGGCCGGCTCTGTGTTAGAAATATGAGACATGTGATTTGTACTATAAAAGGCAAACATTCAATAGCATATAATTAGTCCTGCAACCAAGAATACAATGCCTCAATATTCTTTTTGTCATAATTCATTATTACATCTGTAGAGGTGTCTTTGACCATTAGCCACCCATGTTTCAAATATACTATTCATACATCCAGAGAAACTACACAATTACTTTTAAAATAACTGAGTGAGCTTCTATTTACTGTTTAGTACTTAAAGGTCTGAGATTACTAGTACTCTTTTCAATTTTGATCATTTATTTCTTTTCTATGCAAAAAATACATATATAATATTCTCATTTTGATAAGCATATGAACTCAGTGTTATTTGGGGAAACACTTCAAATACTGCCAATGTTATAGCAAACCCATGTAGGTTTTATTGCTCCCCATCCTATACACACTACCAGAGCCATCCTTTTGAAAGACAAATCTGATTCATTAAAACCATGACCTTTCTTGTCTTCCAATGAATAGTGAACAAGAATTCTCCACTGCCTTCAGGATAACCAAAATTCTTAGCAGACATTGAAGGCTCTTCATTATCTGGCCCTTGTCTTCAGCTTTACTCTTCCTATAGCATCAGAATGAGTTAGGGTTGCTCCAGACACTCTGCTCTCCCAGGCTTCCAGGTCTGAATAAACAGTCCTGGATTTCTAGAAGTTCTCCCAGTCCCCACCTTGCCCTCCCCTCAGCAGGCCACCGAGCCAGAGATGAGTGCCTCTACCCTCTGACCCAGCAAACTGAGCATGTGGCTCTGGCACCAGGTGCCTTTGTTGGACGTTGCCTTCTCTATACTGGAGTGTGAGCCCAGTGATGACATGGACTGTCTTTCACTGTTGTGATTTTTGTTAAGTGCAAAAATCTCGTAAAGGTGAAATGAAGGAAGGAATTCGCTCTTTCGCTAGAATGGGTAAAAATTAAACTTGGATTGCTGGGGCCTGGTCAATTCAATAAAGGCATTTTGGTGCCCGTGAATAGGGAGGGGATCTGGGAATTGTCTTCCTGGGTTGGAATCCTCTTGGCAGGATTTCTTGTTGCGAGACTGTGTACATATTACTTACCTTCTCTTTGCCCAAGTCTCTGATAATTATAGTCCCACTGCACAGGGATTTTGTGAGGATTAAACTAAATACTGCATATAGAGCATTTAAAAAATGCTTGACGGAATAATTAATTGCTCATAGATTATTATAATAGCTATGTGATAAAAAAATATGCTTATCTTAATTTTTTTAAACTTACATTAAATATTTGACATTTTCCCCCCTCAATTTATTTCTACAAAGGCAAGATCAAGAACATCATTAGTGAAGGTAGCATCAGTTCGTCGGTGGTCATGGTGCTGGTGAACGCTGTGTACTTCAAAGGCAAGTGGGAGTCGGCCTTCCTCAAGAGTGACACTAGGCACTGCCGTTTCAAATCTCCCAAGGTATGGAGATCTGTTTAACTTGGGAAGTATTTTTCTGAAGGTGTTTCTTAACAGCAATTGTGATGTTTACATAGACAAAGTCTGGATTCAGCAGTTCTTCCCTCATTTTCTAGTGTGTTAACAATATTATACAGTCAAGTGCTTATAAGATAAACTTTCTATTTTCCTGCTAATGCAGGTAATAGAATACAACTGGAGGTGCCCTATAAATTGATATTTCTTAAACTATATTTGAAATTGAGAAAAGGAATAGCATACGAATTTATTTAAAGGCATTTCAGTAGGGGTCCTGTAAGAAGAAAATATGACTTGAGTTTAGGTTTATTTTTCATGATTCTAACTGCAGGGTGCACAGAGTCATTTAATATCAATGATTTTCCCTGAGTCAAGACAGCTATATGTCTCCTTTTATAAAACATAAAATTGTATTTAATAAAGTTATGCATTTCCAAATATTGGTTATATCTGTTCCTTAATTTAATTCTCCTTGATTTAAAACAATCTTCTAAAGTATGTATTCTTAAAAAAAATTAAATCAATTTGTACATAATAACCTTAGTATAGTAGAAACATCAAAAGCCTTGGAGTCAGAAATACCACATCAGGATCCTCACCTCAATTCATAGACACTGCCTTGTCTTAGCAAGTTAACCAACCATTGCAGACCTCCTCACAAATGAAATACAGTGATTCCATAAAGCGCCTCTAATTTCTCTTTCAATCACCCAGTCTATTAAGCTGAGGTAGAGAAATTCAGATTTGACTTTTAAACTTAGTTTTATTTTTCAAGTGAGAAATACAATTGAAATGTTCTTTCTACATTTCCCCTCATCAGAAGTTTAAGACAGAATGCTGGTAGAAATGAGAGGTCACTGGATGAGTGAGGAGGTGGGGAACGAAAGGCCATCTAGGCAGACTGGAACCACAGGTAGGGCAGGAGGAAGGCATTTCAGAGATATTTGAGAGGAAGGAGAAGGCATAAATACAGAATCAAAAGATAATAGGCTGACTATCTGGCTTGTCTTGGTGACTGCCCTTTGCATGGAGCGCAGCCAGCCCTGCCTTGTGTCCCTGACTGCAGGGTCCTAAGACAACCTTGAGGAGGAAGTTTACAATGCAAGTGTCTCCATGGGAACAGAGGAGCCCAGAAATATTTTGAAATTTGTATGTGAAAAAATAATAATGTAATAAATCCTAATAAGAATGCAGCTGTCTCTATAGACATTATCTGTATAATTGAATAGGAAGAACATTAGGCAGTACTAGAATTTTAGGAACCGCTGGAATTGTTCACAATTTTCCTTCAGTGCCTCCCAGGTACACTCTATTGATTCATTTCCTTCAATAAAGACACAGTGGGCCTGTCCCCTGCACTGCTTGTGGGTTATTTTCTTTTAAAGAAGTTTTTACTTAAATAAGTGTTAACATGTAATAATTCTTTAAAATAATCTTCCTGCCCATTGCATGTCCCTTATAATATAGTTATGATATACAGCATCTAACAGACTATGGAATCTATATCACTGTATCAGTTTTGGTGAAGTGACCTCTTTGCTAAAAAGTATTATTGTGTCAGTCTTTCTCTAGCATAACTCAGCTGTGTGATCCTTGCCCTGGCATGGAAATGTGATATTATGACTGACATCAGCCCCCATTTGCACCAGGCTCAGTTCGGCTGATCTGTCTCACTAGGCAGGTGCCTTTTCCACTTTACTGTTTCAGGTGTGTTCTTTATGATGTTCAAACTTTCAGTCAAAATGGATATTATTTCCAGAGGGAGAAGGGCCTTTGGTTTCAGCACAAATCATTACCTTTCCTTCTCCTATAGAATTTTCTGTACTAAAGCGAGATCTGACAGGCAAGATGACAGTTTTGTAGATTCACAATATCATTTAGGAAAAGGGTGGTTTATGACACTTCTATAGTGTTTCTAAATCTGCAAATTGTAGTCCTTAAGATTACACCTACTGTGTTAATTTGAGCGATATATTTTACAAAAGTTAAATAATCCTATATAATAAAAGGCTAATATGCAAACTGAATGGAGGAATGACTAGTCGCTATGACACGCACTGATCACCAGGGGGCAGATGCTCAATGCAGGAGCTGCTCCTGGTGGTCAGTGCACTTCCACAGGGTGAGTGCCTCTCAGTCAGGAGCCTCTCCTGCCTCCTCAGCAGCCAGCTAAGGACACCTCAAGGGATGTCCGACTGCCAGCTTAGGCCCACTCTCTCTGGGGAGTGGGCAAAAGTCAACAGTCAGACATTCCCCAAGAGGTTCCAGACTAGGAGAGGGTGCAGGCTGGGCTGAGGGACCACCCCACCCAGTGCAAAAATGTCATGCACAGGGCCTCTAGTTTTTTTATTTATAAGACCTCACTCTTAAATGGTGTAATTTTGACTGTACAGGGTTGTATTTTATTTCTGATGAGAGATAGAAAAATCTATCGCAGTCATTTTAAATTATAATGGCATTTAATAATTGTTTATTACTTACTAGAAGCCCAGTTCATGGAATTCGTGCATGGGGTAGAGTGTCCCTCAGCCCAGCCTATTCCCTCTCACAGTCTGGCATCCTTCACTCCTTACTACCCACCTGCTACAGAGGTGGGAGGGTTCCTGCCACCACTGCTGTGCTTGCCAGCCGTGAGCATGGCTTCTGGCTGAGTGATGCTTCCTCGGTGGGAATGCACTGACCATCAGAAAGCAGCTCCTGCATTGAGCATCTACCCCCTGGTGGTCAGTGTAGGGTGCAGGCTGGGCTGAGGGACCACCCCACCCAGTGCAAAAATGTCATGCACAGGGCCTCTAGTGACCAGTCGTTCTGCCATTCGGTCAATTTGCATATCAGAGTTTTATATATAGGATTATATAGACATTACAGATAAAGCACTGAGTGCAAAGCAATGTTCCAAATACTAGATATATTAACTGTCATAACCCTTTGCAGTACAGACTATTATTATCCTCATTATTTATTTATTTTTAAGGAAGGAAGAGGGATAGAGAGTTAGAAACATCGATGAGAGAGAAACATTGATCAGCTGCCTCTTGCACTTCCCCATCTGGGGATATGTGCACAACCAAGGTATATACCCTTGACCAGAATTGAACCTGGGACTTCCCTGGCGCAGAGAAGTGAAGTAACTTGCCCAAGGTCACACAGCTGGGGAGTTTTAAACTCAGGCAGTTAAAGTCTATACTTTCACCACTAAGATGTGCACCAATGGTAACATGTGAGGAAAAACCTACAGGATCAACTGAATAAAACCAAAAACATTTTTTCTTTTGTACTTGGTCAATGAGTGAAATGGGTGGGCTCATTAAAATGTTTTTGTGACTTGACTTCCAGTGTCCTGGGAAAGCAGTTGAGATGATGTACCAAGAACGGATGTTCAATATGTCTGTCATTCAGGACCCGCGTATGCAAGTTCTTGAACTCAGATATCAGGGAGGCATAAGCATGTACATCATGCTGCCTCAGAGTGAAAACCTCTCCGAAGTAAGTTACCACCCTCACTCCCACTGCTGGGGACAACTTTTGGGATACTGGTACTCGTGTATTCATTTATCAGTTTTAAGGTTTCAGGTTGTTGGAATGCTAGAGATTTATCCTCTTATTCATTTATTTGCTAAATATTTCATGAACACCTACTATGTGCCAACCATTGTTATACCAATGAGATTTTAGCAGATATCAAATATTTTAACTTCAAATAATCTGCAATGATAGAAAACATAGCCTAGATAAAACAAGCAGGAGGTAACTCAAAAGATAGATTTGTTTTTGTACTTATTGTCTGAGTCATCTTTTCCTGTAATAGATTCCCCTAATGTGTGGATCATTAGGTATTTAGTATTAATGTCTACTGAATCGACAAAACTACATAATCCTATATTATTAAATAATAACGAGGAAGCTGGCTTTGCAGTGCGCTAAATGAGAAAAACAAACCTAGAATAAAAAGTTATTACAGGTTATTAACTTCAAACTGGATAATTTATAGAAAATTTAAATAAGACTAAATTTGCTTGTAAATTTGTATTCTTGATAAGAATACAGGTAAGGATGAATAGCTGTGAAAATCTGTTAATGATTCCAGTGAGCCTGAATTTGAGAATAAATGTCCATATATAAGATCTGGAAACAATATTCATGAAAAATCTTCCCATTAACCTATGAGCGGTTCTCAGGAATTAGTGAATTTAATATGGGAGTCATTTGGGGTCAGCAAGGGTGTTGGAAAAAGACATGAGCTCCTAGCTATACAACTAAGTTTCCTAGCTGTGTACTTCGGGCACATCTCCCAACATTCTCTTGAGCTTCAGTCCTCCCGTGGGTCCAGTAAGAGAGGTATTTAGGACTCAAGCATCCCTGATAGCATGGGTGATTGTGCTGGGAGCTATTGATCCCCCACGTCCTTGAGGCTGGAGCTCTATGCTCCTTTCCTTAAATCCATTGGTTTACTCCAGCAAGCTATGCAAATACCATTTTCTTTGCAATCCATCCCGAGAAAATGGTCAGGCAACACTGACTTAAATGACTACTGAGCTCCTTTCTCCCTCTGAAGATCTCTGATCCCCTAGTTCCTTCATCAGCCCATTGTGTCACTTTGGCCACACATGTTCATATGTAGGCAGAGAATAGAAAGTCCCCAGAATACAATTAAGTCAACCTTGTTATAGCAGAGCAAATTAAGCATGTGATTTATGAAAGAGTGCTTGAACTATTTGTTTTAATTATTTCCAATTTCCAAAATCTCCAGGGCCCATTCACATACTTACGCATAAATACAGTGTCTGGGAGAGAATAATTATGAAAAGCCCTATATCTTTATAGTTGTTGCTTTTTAAGCATGGGGTCCTAAATTGCCTTTTAAATATTCCTACAGATTGAAAACCAACTGACCTTCGAAAATTTAATGAAATGGACCAGCCCCAAAAAAATGAATCACCGGTATGTCAAGGTGTTTCTTCCTCAGTTCAAGATAGAGAAGAAATACGAAATTAAACGTTATTTACAAGCCCTGGGGCTGAGAGATATCTTTGATGAAACCAGAGCTGATTTCTCTGGCATAGCTTCAGGAGGTCGTTTATCTTTGTCAAAACTGATGCACGAGTCGTACATAGAAGTTAACGAGGACGGCACAGAGGCGGCTGCTGTCTCAGAAAACACCATCGTAGAAAAGCAACTCCCTGAGTCTACCCTGTTCAAGGCTGATCACCCATTCTTATTTGTCATCAGGAAGAATGACATCATCTTGTTTAGTGGCAAAGTCTCTTGCCCTTGACAATCCAATTGGTTTCTATTATGATAGTCCCATCAATATCAAGGAACCACTACATGTGAATAGATAACATTAATGGGAAGCATATGGAGCTCCCTTTAGTTTCCTTTCTTCTAACATTGGTCAGCAGAGGACTTTGGTGACTTGACCCTTCTCTGACACCTGGTTGATTAACCCCACCTTGCTCTTAGCATTTCTACCTCCATCTGCCCCCATTTATAATTTCATTGCCTTTCTACCCACACTCATTTCTACCAGTCTACTCCATAGCCATTTGCACAGAATTCTGGGAATTGTGGACATGTACTCCACTGGTAATGACAATGTAGATGTCATCCTGGAGATCTTTTCTGAAACCTCTAGGTGTCCCGGATAGTCTAGTTTTATTGTACATAATATAGAAAATAAGCCCACCTGTTAGAAATAAGTGTGAAGGATCACTTTTCCTTGCTGACCTAAGAAGACATTACTTGAACATTGATGTGAAATCAGTCTCTTAATCTAAAAGCGAAAAAAATATGGATTTGGGTTTGGGGGCCAACCAAAATATTTCATTAATAACTTCAAGTGAATGAATCTCTTTTGGCTTTTCCTTGATAGACACTTAGTATGTACATAGTTTTTTCAAATATTAAATACCTTTCTAACTGTTTCCAGTTGTTATGTACAGTGTATTATTTCATATGCTGTATAGTTTACATTTGTTTTCTCTATTTATCAAAATAAAGAAAAATAACATAACTACACCGGTGTGATTGCTCTCCTATAACCAGTTGTGAGACGGCCAGCAATATATATATATGTTTTTCTAGGCTGTACAAACAAGCTATGAAAAAGAAAGAATGATTTACAAATATCAGTCTGACTTGATTAAATGTTGCTAATGTATTATACATGAAAGTTACTTTTACATCCACTTATATAGGCTGATGAGCTAATTTTAAATATGAGGACTTAAATTCATAAGGGGAAAAGATTAGAACCTATGAATATATGTAATAGGTCAAGGTAGTTTTATAAAACAGATTAAAAATAAATTAAGAATCAGTAGACCACGTTGAACTTCCTAGTGACCTATAGCATGGCTCTGTGATGCTTTGTGCTAGACCTGGCAGATACTTGACTTTCAACAAATATTGTGGAATCCATGAATATGGCATGAATGAGTGAATGTGACATAATTGTAAAGATGTAGAGTATCTCCTGACCAGAATAATTTGGTCACTAACCTGCCACTTCTGAAATGATGTCTTTCAGAGACGTTTGCAGGGAGTGAATTTAACTGGTATGCAGTGGTTTGTGTTTTGGGTAGAAACTGTTTTTTCTGATTAACTCCATTCCCGCCAACTACCATTCAAATATAACACATTCTTGGACTCTATCTTTAGGAAGATTTTTGTTTTTCACTTGTAGAATTAATTTGGGAACCTGGTAGTTTTCTTCTCAAGTCTGTGTCTCTTTGAGTTAAATCCATAATACTTAGAATGGAGGAGGAAAGATAAACATTATTGAATAATTTTTCTATTTAGAAGCTTTATTTTCATTATCACATTTAAAACTTACAACAACTTTGTTGTATCTGCTATTTAATAACTAGGTTCAGAGAAGTCAAGTTAGTTACTCACATGTATGACAAAAGGCAAAGTTCATTTTAAAACTCAAGTGTGTCTGATTTAAAAGCTCTTTCTTATGAAGACCCTTGGTGGGCCATTTCAACTAATTGTGTTTCATGTGTTTTGGATTATGTGGACCCAATTAGAATAACCTGGCATAGCCAGAGGAACATTTTTTATTGTAGGGTGATCATGTGATTTACCAGGGAACAGGCTTCCTAAAGAGTTGGGCAAAAGCTGGGGGGAGGGGGGAGGAACAACAACAAACAGTGGTTCAAGTGCCTCACAGACTCTAAGGAACACGTTCTGGTCTGTACATTTATTTCTGTTTTCTGTGAACTTGAACCCCACCTGACCCCAATTTTTTGCCTGCTCCCCACTCCATTCCTAGTTATAGGACAACAGGCAACAGAAATATACTGATGTCTTAGAGGATTTTACTTCCATGTTGATGTGAAGAGTGGGGAACATTTTGGTCTCTATAAGACATCAACCACCCTCCAGCCAAATTATTTAAATTTGCTCTTCTCTGTGTAGGAGTTCTTTAGGCTTCTTTACTGGAACTGCACCCCTTGGCCCAGGGACATTGCAGTTTGTTTTCCAACATTGGCAAGACATTCTATAAGTTAAGTTGTCAGGAGAAAGAATTACAACTTTTCTATTTATATTCTCACTCCAACTCAGCAACTTCTAGTTTTCCTTTTCAGAAGTTCCTTTAGGAACCTTATCAATAGAATCTCCTCTTTTAGAGATCCAGGATAAAGGAGGCCATTTCTGTAGATGTTTTGATCTTCCTAAGGTGTAGAGATTGTTGAAGAAGGTCCTTCTCACCCTAAGATTGTGCATGTAATATATGTATAAGAAAATATGTAAGCATTCCTCAGGAGATTTTCATGGTGCTTTCCCTTACATTTTTGTTTTAGCTGGAATCCAAGTTATTATTAGTGTAAGAATTTTACCAAAGGAAGAGAATCATAGCATTTATTAAAAGAGACAGACAAGAAAACTTAACCAACAATTTTGTACATAGCCATAAAGAAAGCAGATAGGCTATCCACTCACTTTGTTTTCTTCTGCAGCCTATGCTCTTTATTTATTAAATAAGTATGAGTGCTTGACATATTTGCTCAAAAATCTTTTTAATTCAGCTGAAGATATTGAGTGCAGTTATGTCAATTCAACACAAAACTAGTAAAAATAACTCATATTTCATGGATTACCAGGTGTTTTCCCAAAGGTGAAATCAAGGACCCCTTGCCACCAGAAGCCTCACTCACATCTTTGCTCAGTTAGTGCTGGTTCATGCCATCTTCTGTGGAGGGACCTGGACGTATGCATTTCAGAAAGGCCACACCAAAACTATGGCTTTCAGGTTGGATGAGTTAGTCTCATGGTTTAATTTGCTTTTCTCTTAAAGACAAACCTCCAAGTTTTCCCCCTTAAATTCTGTTAAATTATTTCTGGCCTTCAGTAGGTAAATTAATTTCCAAGTGACTTTCCTTGATACATTTTCAATAAAGTGCAGGTTTGATTTTCAATATATTTAAAAGATTTATTGAACCTTAACAAAAATTCATCATAGTATTTTTATCATATTTTGAAAGGAGAAATGCTGCTTTTTAGCACCATAGTAGTAAAATTAAATACTGATGTAAAAAATATAAGGCCTTCAAAGGCCTTACAGTATGTTTAGGCTTTGGGCTAACCTTAAGTAATTATGATGCAATTTACTTACTTAAAACTAGAAATGAAGTCAGATGATGGGGAAGAACTAATAGACACTCCTAGAATAAAGAGGCAGGCCCTGAAACTAATTGAAACAATTTTAAAAATTAAAAAAAAAATAGTCAGAAACACAACAACAACATACCAGGCAGATCATAAAATGGGTGTGATCTTAAGAAGTACATCAGCATTGGTGAATAAGATACACAGTCAACATAAAAGGTTCCATGTACACTGTCCTACCAACCTTAGTCTTCCAACTTCTTTCCTTAGTGCCTCTCAAAGAGCAGACTACAATCAAAATAAAACATGCTATTTAACATGAAAGAATGAGTTTGTACATTATAATTAAGTCCTAAAGCTATCAATTGTATACACTCTATCAGATGTATTACCAATAAATATTTAAAATTATTGGTCAATTAAAAAAATTTTTATAGTGAACTGTAAAAATTAGGAGAGCATATACTTGTGAATAAATAATTTTTCTGTAAAAGGAATAGTGAACGACTTCAAGGAAAAATATAATTCTCTAGCCAAACACATCAGTCACCTCTGGAAGTATCTAGAACTCTCTTTCCAAAGAATATTGCCATCAGATATTGTAATCATAAGACAAATTATGAAATTATATATTTTGTAGCTCTTTTTTAAAATATAAAATTCAAGGGCCACAGCCCTGAAGATTCTGATTTGCAGCGTGGGTATATGTATTTTTAAGTAGCTTCTATAGGTTTGTTCAAGGATCATCCCAGTTGTGGGGATCATAATATTATGAAGATGGAGTGAAATATTTTAGCAGGATTCATAGAGATACTTAAAAGGGCTAAATATAAATTGAAAACAAACAGACTTGCTAGAGAAAACAATTAATAAACAGAATCTTTAATTTCTCAGTAAAATCTGGTCAATATAGATATCTTTAACCAGTTAATAGGCATTTCAAAGAGATAAACATAAAAAAAGGTTATAGTCATAACTAAATTTCCTTAAATGGCCTCATTATGTAGAACCTGAGTTCTACATTCTTGACTTACTTATAACTATTTGTAATCTGCAACTCAATGCTGCAGACTAATCAGATTTTACTTGAGCTGGAGAGATTTCTAAGTTATATTCTTGGAAGAACCTATTTGACTTTTAAAAATGGTTATCCTGATAAGATCTTATGATGCTTATTTCTTTGCTCTTTGAAGTGAATTAACTGCTTGTGGGCATCAAGAAAGGACAGTTGAATAAAAACAGAATATCCTTTGTTCTTCAATCGCTTCTTTGTTTAGGCTCCTGTCACCTTTAAATCATCACAATAAATTCTGTGGAAAGATGAGTGGTTTTGTTTTGATTACTCAATGTGGACAATTTTGGAGGATGAATATAAATGTAGATTTCCTGTCTTAAATGGAAAAATAAGAAAGCATTAGTATTGCTGTTTCACTGTGTTTAGGTTTACAATCCCAGAGCAAAAGCTTTCCAGATGATGAGGCTGCAAGAACACTTGAAATTAGACTTCATAAAGGAGTCTGGGGTCCAGGTCCTTGAGATGCCTGATACGGAGGATCACCAGAGTATTGTCATCCTCCTCCCCAGGGAGGACATCCACCTGGAACAGGAAAACCATGAAGCCTTCATCGCCACAGCCACAAGAGAAGGCTCTGAGCTTGAGGA